CTGATGATGTTACAGACCATTTAAAGAATAGATTTGATGCATTGAACACCAATGACCAAAAACCAGAGGAATTGTGGGATGACATCAAGAATATCATCCATGAAGAAACCAAAAGGTCATTAAAATTACAGGAAAAGAAAAGACCAAAATGGATGTCAGAAGAGACTTTGAAATTGCCCTTGAGCAAAGAGAAGCTAAAGCATATGGAAGAAATGACAAGATAAAAGAGCTGAACAGAAGATTTCAAAGAGCAGCTCAAGAAGACAAAGACTTCTCGAACTGTTATAATGAAATGTGCAAAAACCTGGAGTTAGAAAACTGAAAAAGAACAACATGCTCATCATTTCTCAAGCTAAAAGAACTGAAGGAAAAATTTAAGCCTTGAGTTGCAATATTGAAAGATTCTATGGGCAATATACTGAATGATGCAGGAGACATCAAAGGAAGATGGAAGAAATACACAGAGTCACTGTACCAAAGAGAATTGGTCAATGTTCATCCACTTCAGGAGGTGGTATATGATCAATAACTAATGGTATTCAAGGAAGAAGTCGAAGCTGCACTGAAGGAAGTGGCAAAAAACAAGGGTCCAGGAATTGATGGAATACCCATTGCGATGTTTCAGCAAACAGATGCTGCACTGGAGGGACTCATTTAGCTATGTCAAGAGATTTGGAAAATAGCTACTTTGCCAACTGACTGGAAAAGATCCATATTTGTACCCATTCCAAAGAAAGGTGATCCCATAGAACGTAGAAATTATTGAAAAATATTAATATCACACACAAGTAAAATCTTACTGAAGATAATTCAAAAACAGTTACAGCACTATATTGACAGAGAACTTCCAGAAATGCAAGCTGGATTCCTAAATGGGGTATCATTGCTGATGTCAGATGGATGTTGGCTGAAAGCAGAGATTACCAGAAAGATGTTTACTTGTGTTTTATTGAGTATGAAAAAGCATTCGATTGTGTGGATCATAACAAATTATAAATAACTTTGAGAAGAATGGGAATTGCAGAACACTTAATTGTAGTCATGAGGAACCTGTACATAGACCAGGAGACTGTCATTCGAACAGAACAAGGGGACACTGCATGGTTTAGTGTCGAGAAAGGAGTGCATCAGGGTTGTATCCTTTCACCATACGTATTCAATCTGTATGCTGAGCAAATAATCCAAGAAGCTGGACTATATGAAGAAAAATGCAGCATCAAGATTGGAGGAAGACTCATTAACAACCTACGATATGCCAATGACACAACTTTGTTTGCGGAAAGTGAGTGTGATTTGAAGCATTTACTGATGAAGATTGAAGATTACAGTCTACAGTATGGACTACACCTCAATATAAAGAAAACAAAAATCTTCACAACTGGACGAATAAGCAGCATCATGATAAATGGAGAAAAGCTTGAAGTTGTCGAACACTTCATATCACTTGGTTCTACAATCAACCAATGGAAGCAGCAGTCAAGATACCAGAAGATGTATAGCATTGGGCCAATCTGCTGCAAAAGACCTATGTCAAGTGTTGAACAGCAAAGATAACTCCTTGAAGACTAAGGTGCACCTGACACAAGCCATGGTATTTTCAATTACCTCATATGCATGTGAGAGCTGGACAATGAATAAGGAAGACCAAAGAAGAGTCAATGCTTTTGAGTTGTGGTGTTGGGAAAGAATGCTGAAAGTCCCATGGACTGCCAAAAGAACTAACAAATTTGTTCTGGAAGAGGTGCACCCAGAATGCTCCTTGAAAGAGAGAATGGCCAGACTTTATATCACTTACTTTGGTCATGTTATCAGAAGGGACCATTCCTGGGAGAGGAGCTCTAGTAGTGTAGTGCCTAAGGCACTTGACTGCTAACCAGAAGGCTGGCAGTTCAAACCCACCAGCCAGTCCTCAGAAGGACGGTTGGGCAATCTACTTGTGTAGTGATACAGCCTCAGAAACCCAAGGAGGGGTCGCTATGAGTAGGGCCATGGCACAAAACAACAACAACAACATTCTCCGGAGAAGGATATCATGCTTGGTAAAGTGGAGAGTCAGTGAAAAAGGGGAAGGTCCTCAACAAGATGGATTGACACAGTGGCTGCAACGATGGGCTCAGTTATAGCAAGGATTGTGGGGCTGGCACAGGACTAGGCAATGTTTCGTTCTGCTGTACATGGGGTCACTATGAGTTGAAGACAACTCGACAGCACCTAGCAACAACAACATTTTAACTAATCTCAGATATGCAAGGATATCCTGGAAACACTGAGGGAGAGACCTGGAAAAATGACACTTCCTCTGTGCTCTCTCATTTTACATTTCGTCTTCCTTTTTCTATTGTTGCTCCATTTCTATGCTGTGCACTTTTTTCATTCCAGTCTGACTTAAACATCACCTCCTTTCTTTCCTCTTCCCACTTTTTCCCTTAGTCAAACCTTTTTTCTTCCTAAAATTTCAGTTCTCCCTCCTGAAACTTTCTTTTAACTATCTCTTTGACTAAACTTTAGGCCTTGAAGTAGAATATTTTAGGTGATTATTCAGCTTGCTTCAGATGAATAAAGTAGGAAGAGTTGCTGAGAAATTCCATATTAAGGGCTTATTAACTATTTTGCTTTAACCTTGTCTATGTTCTTCATGATATTTCTCTCAGCACAAGAACTTTCCAATCACTATCATTTTCCTCAAAGTTTTCTGTTTCCCCATAACCACATATACTTTATATTCATTTCACAGAACTCCTCACATTCAACCTATGCCATATCACTTTTTGTGCTTGTGTTGTTACATCTTCAAGGTTATTAATTTTCAGGGAAAGTTCATCAATTGTTCATATCTAAAAAAAAATGCCTTACACAGAGCCAGGCCCATTGAACAGTTACCAAATGAAATGTCAATAACAGGCTATTCACTTTTAGCAGAACTTTAAGATTGTAAACTGTTTCTGCCCAAAGCATTTTCTACCCCATTTTTTAAACTGATAGGCACCAAACAAACAAATAAAAGTTAAAGCCAATCTGTGAACTCTACAAAACACAATCCTTAAGGAACTTTATTTGCATTTGGAACTACTTACAGAATTTAAGTATTGTGTTCATAGTCATTTTTAATAAGTCCTCTGATAAAAGTCATACTTATTTCATCCACAGCATGATATGGAGTTCTTTAATATTTTACTTCACCCAAATGACAAATGGGGAGCTCTGGTGGTGCAGTGCCTGAGGCATTTGACTGCTAACCAGGTGGCTGGCAGTTCAAACCCACTAGCCACTCCTCAAAAAGAAGATGGGCAATCTACTTCCATAGAGATACCACCTCTGAAACCCAAAGAGGTGTCGCCATGGGTTGTAATCCACTCAAAGGCAGTGAGTTTGGTTTTGGTTTAAATGACAAATGTGGCATTTCTGAAAGTTTTATTCATGTCACATCCAACTTCAGGATGCAAAGACTTTTATCTATCATCATTCATTCATACAGGCTATATATTAAGACATAGGTGTTTTCTGGTATAAAAGATAGATTACTCTGTGTTACATTATAATATAAATGTTGTTGTTGTTATGTGCCCTCGAGTCAGACCTGATTCATAGTGACCCCTCTTTGGGTTTCCGAGGTGTATCAGTACAGAAGTAGATTGCCCAACCTTCCTTCCGAGGAGTTGATAGTGAGTTTGAACTGCCAGCCTTCTGGTTAGCAGTCAAGTGTCTTAGGCACTATGCTACCAGAGCTCCTTATAATATGAATACTGACATTTTAACGGGGAAAACAAAGTGTTTGCATTTCAGATTAAGCACCTTTGCAAGCACAGAATTTTAATAGTGAATTTTATAATTCTCTCTTTCTTTGGATGCCTCACTATGCCTGCTCCTGCTCCAAGTGTTTGCTTATGTTGAGAAAAATCACTCAACAATGATTTCTACTATTTTATTTCTTAATATCTTCAAATAGTAGAAATAACAAATGTTGGCTTTCAGGGGCTTAAAAAAGTATGTTTTCCCCTTAAGCTCAGGAATAAAACTAAAAGTTGATAACCACACAAGTAGGAGGGAAGCAAGCCAGTTTCAAAAGAAAGTAAAAGGCTCAGATAATCCGCATGTTATTAGAGGGGTGTGCCCACTGGCACAAGACCTCATCGGGAGAGGTTGGACATGCAGGATGTTTACGAGTAAAAGAAGGTGGAAAATGTAGAACACACAAGGCCCAGTGTCCTGAGTGCCTGGCCGGAACGCAGCCCCAAATAATCGCTCTTGCTGAAGGAGCCCTTTTGTTCCATCCTGCGTCGTTGATAAAATACATAATAAATTAATAAATATTAATAATAAGAAGCTCATCTAAATAAAAGGCTTAAACAAATTAGACATATGGAGCTAGTTATTTATATTGATATTTTTTTCTGCTTCCATCCGAAGTTGCCAGTATTCTCGTAAATAGTAGGTTTTCCCCGCCAACCTGCGAGCAGCGTGCTTCAGGCAGGACCCTGATTTAAAGATACCGGTAGCACTAATCCTCACAATTTGGAGAGAAATATAAATCGACGCCTAAGGGCAAAAGTGGGTGGGGCGGCTTCTAGCCAGCTGTGGCAGAAGTCCACAAACTTGTTTGACTTCATCTCCACTTTGACAGGGAACCAGGACTGAACTCGTCAGAAACGGGTCTTGACCAGCACCACCAGCTCCGGGCAGCAGGAGCATTTGCAGACAAATGAAACGAGGAGACGGCGGAGGAAGTAGCCTCAAAGCCTGGCAACTGGACACTGAGACGGTCAGGGCCAGAGGGTTAAACACCTCGCGACTTCAGCTGCACCCTGCATGTACAGCCCACTGAGTACTGACTTCCACGGAGAGATGGTGACTGCAGGAAAGTGCAGCTCCGTGGAGATGAGAGAGGCGATGAGTCTACAGTCCTTGCCCCTCTACGTCCGCCCCCGCTCCCCAACTTGTAAATCTTAGACTCGCGACCTCTCCCCTCCCGCGTCTGGGTCGCGCTGCCAGCTGCCCCTTACCCAGCCAGAAGTGCAGGCGGTAGGTGAAGCCCCGGCTCCCCTTGACCGTGTGCAGCACCAGGTAGGCATCCCCGACGTAGAAGCTGCCGTAGGCGCTCTCGGGCACCGGCACTAGCTCCAGTTTCTCGACCCTCCAGACCTGGAGCCCCGCCTGCTTGCCCGCCTGGGCGAACTCCTTGTGGTACAGCTCCTGGGCCATGGCTCCTGCACGCGACGCTCCCGGGGGCACGAATTCAGGTCTGAACGTCGCTAACCCTAGGGTCGGACTAAACCGAGACCTGCAGGAGGGAGCCTAGACGCCGGGACTTTATAGTGTTCTTCCCTCTGGAAGGCGGGGCCCCGAAACGGGAGGGGCTGAGGGGCCTGGTGAGTGCTGCTTTGAAGTTCACATGCCCTTCCCTCTTGGGGATTCGTCGTCGCAGAGACCTTTTTGAGATCTACAAGAGACTTATAGAACCTCCTGGAAATGCCTGCTCCAAGGAAGAACATTTTCCCTGGCAAGACTTGGAGATGAACGATTGAAACTCTGTTTGGCGCCACCAATGCACAGCTCACCACCACCTTTCTGCGGTTATTCCTATTCTCCGTTTATCTTGTTATTTCCGGGTCTCAGATGGGCCTGGAATGTATAAAGTGAGAAATGAGCGCTCTGGCTCTAGAGGTTGAGTCAGTGTTTTCCTAGAAGGAGCTGTGGCATCCTCTACAGACAGAGGATGCCTTTAAGGAACCGAGCGAGTGTGCCTCATTGGCGTCCCGGGTGAATATTAACACATCATTAAAAAAAAAAAAAGGCTACCCAGGTAACAGCCTCATCATCAACTCGACCATTCCATTGACCTTTTTTCTTTTTTTCCGTTCCTGGCGGTCTACGTTTCTCTCTGTCTTGACCTAATTTGAAAATGCCATGAAAAACAGCACATGAGGTTTCTTGGAGAGAGTTAAAACTTGGAAGGCTGGCGGTCCTACCCAGGGGACAAAAAAATCCTCAAATCCCCAGGAGTTCTGAAGCCTGTGTTTACAGTCTCTTGTCACCTGCTACCTTTGGCTAAGAGGCTACAGAAAAAACAGCAGCGTCCTCTAAGGGGGTTCTCAGGCAGAGGTGGCGTTGGTGGCTGTAAATTTCTTCTTGGCCTGCCTTCAGAGTTACTAATTACCGTGACTTTAAGACGCTGAAGATCTTATTGTTTTCTTTAAAGCTTTTTGCTTTTCCACCATGGTCAAATCGCTGTAGCATTGAAATGAAAACTTACTCTTTATTTTGCATTGATTGAATTTGGGTTGGTATGTCAAAGGTTTTTACTCTGTTATGAAAAAGCAAATTGCTAAGGTTGCAAAAACCAAAAAACCAAACTCACTGCTGTGGAGTCAGATTCGACCCCCAGTGACCCCTCCTTGGGTTTCCAAGGCAGTATCTCTATGGAAGTATATTGCCCAAACCCACCCCCCTTCGGGTTAGCAGTCAAATGCCTTAGGCACTACTCCACCAGAGCTCCCAAGGATGATGCAAAGGATAAGAAAAGCTGATTTATTGCACACAAATTTTGTTTCACTGTGTTGCCAAAATGCATGACCTCCTGGAAGGTCACTAATCAGGCAATTAGATCTTTTCTTAAAGAATTTATGTTTTTAAATAAGTATTACATCACCTTGGTGAAAACATTCACAAGCACAAAAGGTGTGCAATAAAAATTTATCTTGATTTTATCCTGCACCCTCCCACCCATTTGTTTTCCCCAAAGGCAACTGAGGCAACTGAGTTGTCAGTTTCTTGTCTATTTTCTCAGTGAGGTAGTCTTTCATTTAGAAGAAAATATTAAAAAAAAAAAAAAAAAACAGGAATGGCAGCATACACCATATTTCGTCTATGTATCTTGAGATCAAGGGAGCTCTGGTGGCATAGTGCCTAAGGCATTTGACTGCTAACCAGAAGGCTGGCAGTTCAAACCCACTAGCCACTTCTGGGTAGGAAGACTAGGCAATCTACTTCCATAGAGATACTGACTTGGAAACCCAACAAGGGGTCTCTATGAGTCAGAGTCGGAATCGACTTGACAGCAGTGAATTTGGTTTTGGTTTATCTTGAGGTCAGAAGGGACCTTATAGAATCTCCTTGAAATGCTTCCTCCAAAGGAAAGACATTTCCCTGACAACACATAGGGAAATACACACACACACACACATATGTGCACAGAGAGAGAGAGAGCTGCCTCTTGTTACTGACCACATGGTTGTCTATCTGTTTTTTCAATAACCTCTTGGCCAAAGGAAGATGACAAGAAATAGTAATCACAGGCTTCTGAGCTCCTGGGGATTTGAGGGGTTTTTGGTTCTGGGTGTTTTTTTTTTTTTGGCCTCTGTGTAGGACCACCAGCCTTCCAAATTTTAACTCTCTCCAAGAAACCTGATGTGCTGTTTTTCATAGCATTTTCAAATTAAGTCAAGATGGAGAGAAACTTAGACCACCAGGAATCGAAAGAAAGAAAAAAAAAATGGTCAATGGAATGGTGGAGTTGTTGATGAGGATGTACTACAGTTTATTTACTAATTCATTGACATTTAATTTTTTGTATATTTTGCTAATACAACATTGCAAGGAGCATTTGTGAACATACTGCATTGTGCACATGCATTACTATGACTACGAGATAAATTGTTAAAATATAATTGATAGATCGTTTATTGAACTTCTGCAATGATGGGCTATGGCACAGACTGCCTACATTCAATTCCTGTCTCATTTCATTAGTTCTGAGACACTGTGCAGATCATTTGAATGTAACAAGCCTCAAGTTAGTCATCTGTAAAATGAAAAAATCATAGTATTCACCCAATAAGAGTGCTATTTGGATTAAAGGAGATTTTGCAAGTCATCTGTGACTGTTACATAGAAAATGCTCAATAATTGTCAAAGAAGAAGAAGAATTGATGCTTTTGAGCTGTGGTGTTGGTGAAGAATGCTGAAACTACCATGGACTGCTAAAAGAACTAACAAGTCTGTCTTGGAGGAAGTGCAGCCAGAATGCTCCTTGGAGGCGAAAATGACCAGATTTCATCTCACATTCTTTGGTCATGTTGTCAGAAGGGACCATTCCCTGGAGAAGGATGTCATGCTTGGTAAGGTGGAGGGTTGACAAAAGAGGGGATGGCCCTCAACGAGATGGATTGACACAGTGGCAGCGGCGATGGGCACAAGTATAGCAAGGTTCATGGAGCTGGCTCAGGACCTGGTGGTGTTTCATTCTGCTGTGCATGGGGTCGCTATGAGTCCGACTCAACGCACCTAACAACAAAAACAAAGTCATTATGTGGTGGAAAGCTTCCTTCCGTCCCTTCAGATCCTGTCTTTACCTTTCTCCACCCAGCTGTCTTCCTCAGAAAGTTGACTTGCACCTGGGCAGAAACTATCAAAAGGAATGCATGTCCAAAGGGAAAGTCAAGACCACTCTACTTAGTTCAAAGCACACACTCTTTACAAACACTTATTCTTGTAATCCAAATTATTTTGCCAAGATTTTTTCACCTAAGTATACTTTATGTTTTCATATTCTTCCAAATTGTGCCCAGAGAGGCTTCTGATCTAGTCTACCCCATGCATCACCAAGAAGTTAATTCTAACTTAGCCACGGAGCCATTAAATGCCTTGATCTCCTTATTTATAAAGTGGAAATCATTTTCTCTCATCTTCCCTTTACAGAAAAACAGATGGTGCTTTGGCTTCAGATAATTTAAAAATCAGTGTTATTACTTAAATTCAGTTTCAGTTTTAATGATAATTCCATTCCTGAAGAAATAAAAAGGACTTCAGTATACGTGAAAGTAAAAAACTCCCTCTACCTTAGGGAGCTCTGGTAGTATAGTGGCTAAGACACTTGCCTGCTAACCAGACAGCTGGCGGTTCCTTAGGGAGCTCTGGTAGCATAGTGGCTAAGACACTTGCCTGCTAACCAGACGGCTGGCGGTTCAAACCCACCAGCCACTCCTCGGAAGGAAGGTTGGGCAATCCTACTTCCGTAGTGATACTGCCTCGGAAACCCAAGGAGGGGTCGCTATCGACTCGAAGGCACACAACAACAACCTTAGGTCAGGACTTCCGTGCTAGAATGAGGCGCACTCCTGGGACACAAAATTTAAGGGGACACTAAAAAAACCTCAGTAGTCAAGATAAATAATAGTTTAATGCAATGCTTTACAAAAAGTCAATGCAAAAAATCATGATGAACAAAAAAAGTTTTAAATAAAGGTAGGATTGTTAATAATGTTATGTGAGGCTGTATAGGAACCTGAGGCAAACGAAAAATATTAATCTTGTTTTTACATAAAATTTGATCATTTCATCATGGATTTTTTTTTTTGCACTAATTTTTTTTTTTTTTTTTTGAATCTTGCATTAAAATATTATTTATTTGCTCACTGAGGCTTTTTTTTTTTGGTCTCCCTTTAAATGTGTGCTTCCTACTAGGCACAACTACATATGTAATTAATCCTGAGACTAGTCAAATTCCGCTTGTTCAAAACAATCTCATCATTTCCTCCAAAAGCACTTCTCCTACTCTTCCTTATTTCATTAACAGCACGATTTAATTTTGGTTTGGCACTCTCACTGCATCTGCACATTAAATGAGCAAGCTTGTCCAACATGTTTTTCAAACTGCCCACTTTCTTGTTACTGAGTAACTTTCTTTCCCTTCATCTTCAGGAAGGACATGCACCAGGGTGAAGTGTCTTAGTTTACTGTAGGTTTCAGCCCATGTTAAAACCTGACTCCTCTACTTTTCAGCTGATTGATCTTGGGTGGTTGCCTCACATTATTGTGTCTCAGTTTTCTCATCTATGGAATGTGGATACTGATAGAAATTACATCATAGAATTGTTATGAAGATTAAATGGATAAATATATACAGGCCTGGAATGGTGCCTGGCATATAATATATCCCAGTAATCTCAAATGATGTTGTTGAGTGGTTAATTTACTTCTCTACATCTAATCCTACAAGAATGTTTCCAGAATCTAGTTCAGATAGAGAATACCCATTTCTTACACTCAAAAAAGTCTAAACTCAAGTCCCAGTTTCCTTCCCATGCTCTTTTTCTTTTCTTCTCCTTCTCTTCCTTCTCCCTTTCTCTCTCTCTCTGTCTCTCATAACCTAAGTTCCTAAAAGTAGATCATTTTCTCCTCTTCATGTTATTGTCTTTCTTCCATCTCATTCTACTCATGTTTTTCCAATTCTTTAATGTCTAACTAAAAGGACACATCATCATCTTAATCTCCCTGGCTCCTTTATATTTCACCCTCTGTGCTCCCAATGCTATTGATACG